GCCTTTTCAGGAGAAAGTCCACAATCACATCAAGTCATTCCTTCTTATTGATCTCATCCTCATCAATACACTACAGCTAGCACCATTGAACTCAGATAATAATACAACCACACTGGTAGCAGTCTTTCAAGTTGTATTGATGTCCCTGCCTCTTGTTTACTTATTGTGTTACATTGGACAATACACTTGTTGTACAAAGCGCTGCATTGAAAATAAGTTCAATGCAATAACAAGCCCAAGTGGTCATAATAACAATGATGATGATGATGATGAACTACCTCAGCGATTGCTACCAGATTTTATTGAGTCTTATGATACATTCAACAAAAGTGAATAGATATCATCCACACACACAAACATTGTATATTTACACTTACATGCACTTTAGTAGGTAGCTCTTTCAAGCAGTGTGTTCTCAATAATAACATTAACTTTTAATGCTGTTTTACAATTTTTTCCCTTGTTTAAATTGTTGTTCACATTTAATCTTTTAATATTTATAAATCAAACACATTAAGCGAAGTGAAAAAAATTAATATAGCCTTAAATACAAAATAGTTAATTTAATAATATGAAAATGATGATAATTGGTAATAATATTACTACATGATCTTAATGAATTGTAGAAAGTATGTTCACGTCACAAGCAATAATGATTTGATAATGATACTCAATTCATAGTTAAAGTTTGATTAAAATTTATTGGGTGGAACTAATTTTTGAAGATAAAATGAAATTTTTTTGCATGATAGCTTTACATCTACATTTCAGCCTGTTCATATCCAAATGCAAATTTATTGCATAAATATTGCCATAACTGTTAACAAAAAAACTGAAACTGAAGAAAGTAAGATATCAATAGGGTAACAGTTTTATTTTCAAGGCAACAATTCTTATAGTTTATAACAACAATGGTATTTATTAGATAGAGATATTATGAGCAATTACGTCTTGAATACTATTATGTTTGTTGTTAGAGGGTCTATAGTGTTATCATTGTGATGCTCTCAGAAACTGTCAACTGATATAGTGAAACTATTTTCTATGGGACTGTTTATAACAAAAACTTTGTTCATTACTTTTGTTAAGTCCACAAGCTAACTCATCTGTGATGTTTCTCCTGCTGTGTATTCTTCTTCATAGTGTATCATCTCTTAATATCAGGATTGATGGAGATAATGGAAATGATTCAATTGAGTGTCTTACAGAACAGCCTCAGTCTTCCTGTCAGTCATTGAAGTATGTAGCTGATACTATTAACAACACTGGTAACCTCACAATAGAGATCATCAGTCCTACTCTTAGTCTACAAGGTAGTGTTATATTCACTGATATCAATGGACTAACTATCAATGGACAAGGTACTAGCATTAGCTGTAGGAATGGATCAATACCTTATGGTAACTCTGGTATAGTTTTTGATACATGCAGTAATGTTAAACTCAATAGTTTTACTATTGAACATTGTGGATATGAAAATGGACAAAAATATCCCGGGCATCAAAGTGTTCTCTTTTATAGTTGCAAAACTTTTCAAGTTTCAAAAGTCAACTTCAGTGACAATAATGGTTATGGGCTGGTACTCTATGAAAGCAGCATTGGATATGTAACACAAAATATTTTTACAAACAATGGTATAAAACATTCTGATTATTCAAGGGCTGAGGAATCAAATGCAACAGGAGGAGGCCTACACATACTTCAGTATAATCTTTATAATAATGCAATTAGAATTGATGCTAGTCACTTTATTAATAATTCTGCTACAACCATTGGTAGTGCATTGCTTCTAGATTTAGGTAGCTGTGCAAACTTACTTTTGTCCATCACTGCTTCTAAATTCATTGGTAATAGAGCTGGTACTGCTGGAGGAGCCATTGGGTTTATAGTACATAAAATTAACTGCAATTACAATGGCACAATACCTTTTTTATACCATATTCATTTGTCTGACTGCAATATCACCAATAACAAGGCAAAGTTTGGTGGAGGAGTTGCAATCCAAATTGTTCATTATGAGGCTTCACTTGACGGGCATAATATGAAAAAAAAATTCTTTTAATCTTTGCTATTTCACTGGCAACAAAGGTATGGTTAGCTCAGCAGTAGATATCAATGGTAGAAGTCAAAAAGTTAATCAGTGTCTTGACACCTATGTAAGCTTTAAACTTTGTAATTTTACCGAAAATATTGCAGGAATAGATAACAATGAACAGGAACTTAGAGGTAAACTGTTTAAAGCAACATTATATGCTACTGATGCTATTGTTATTATTGCCGGTCACCTTTTATTTGCCAATAACACTGGAACGGCTTTATATGCAGTAAATAGTCGTGTATATGTGTCGAACGATGTCCATATTAATTTCCATAACAACACTGGGGATCAAGGTGGTGCTGTTTTTTTGCAGATGGTTCAACATTTGACTATAATGATCATTCACCTAATGTATCAACTTTTATAAATATTTCAAATAATAAAGCTCTCATTGGTGGTGCAATATACATCCAATCACTGATTAATATACATGAAGGAACATGCTTCATTTCCAATTATCATAATAATGTTACATTCTATTTTACTAACAACAATGCCACCAGTGGATTGGGTCATGATATTTTTGCCTCTACACTTCAAGATTGTGTTAAATTGTATGGTGAAAATACGACAATATTATTTAAAGCTGGAAAAATGGGCATATTCAAATTTTCATCACAGACATCATCTCCAGTTGCTACTGCACCAGTTAAACTGTCAATAAATGAGAAAGAGCTAGTTCCTTATCCTGGAATACCATACAATATGACTATAACACAAATGGATGAGTTTAATAGCCATATAACAAACTTACAGTTGTTTCCATTGTTAGCAACACTACAAAATGTACACAATTCCTCATTGACGATTGATATAACTTATTCCATTGCTAACAATTACATAATAGTCTTTAAAGGAACAGTAATAGATACAGCTACTCTATTACTGCAGACAACTGAGTACAGTGCTAGAAAACTGATCAATATCACACTATATCACTGTCCTCCAGGATACACATTTCAAATCAATACTTGTCACTGTA